CAAAATGAAAAAAAAAACTCGAAAGCTGAAATTGAAAAAATATGGACCAAAATAAAATTTATAAATCCAACTCGTGTCTAATGTTTCTCTCTTTTATTTTTATTTCGGGAAAGTTGGTGTCGGTCCCTTTCAACTTTTTATTCCATCGATAAGAAACTTTGCCCTAATTCTTGCATTTTTAGGGTTCTAGTGTAAAGTTGCAATTTCTTTTTTATTATTATTATTTTCATGCTTGATAGATTGATTTATTATTTTGTTATACGGGAATTTAGAGGATTATTATTATTATTATTTTCTTTAAAAAAAAAATAATGCACGTTCGAATTTCACAATTTCATTGCGAATTTTTTTAAAGATTTTTTTATTATTTTATTAGTGCACGGAGTTGAATCGATCATACTTTTTTAGTGAATTTTAAGGATTTAAAAACACGTCTCTGCAATTTGTCTAGTCGAGTAAAAAACTACTCGAAAATTGAAAAAATATTTTTAAATCTTAAAACCCGAAAAGAAAAATAAAAAAAAATCATCTTTTTCATGGCACAACTACTTGCTTTCCTTCTTTTACAAAGATGATAAGGCTTTTTTTGCTAAGGTTTGGATGCCCCTTTTCTAACCTACATACATACATACATATATATATATATATATATCGACCCAAAGAATATTCTTATTTATTATTAATTTTATATAAGAAATTTGTTTTTAAAAAATTACTAAATAGGAACATAACTCTATCATTTAAAATATCGATATTGAATCATTTTAATTTCAATATTGCTTTTTGTATTTTGTATTTTAAATTTGTTTATTTTAAATTTTTTTTTTTTGAAGAAATTAAATGTAAACATAAATTTTATAAAAATCTTATATAATTGGAGAAAAATTAGAGCAATAATAAGCATTTTGAAATTTCAGGACTAAAGGAAGGTACGGACGGTCAGTCCGGGCAGGTGGGTTAAAATTAGGTAAATTACTTTTAAAAGGACAGTCAGTCTGTGCAACTTGGCAACTGGGGGAGATTATCGAATCATAGATGAAAGTCAAATCACTATATTATGTGGTGGGCCCCACTGAACAACATGGCATATTCTTTTCTCCACGTGTCAGCTTTCTGATCCCCTCCCAGATTCTCCACCACCATTCCAATCCAACGGCTCTCCGCTCACCTTGTCAACCCCAATTGCTTCGCTGCTAAGTTCCCGTCTGCCACCTATACTCTCTCGCCTCATAAGATACACGTCATCCAACAATTCGTCCTTTTTACTTAATTTTACTTTTAAAAAAAAATTATAAAAAATCACTATGATCTTATTTTTAAGATTATTCTCATTCAAATACGAGCTTTATTTATTTATATACTTTTTATTTACTCGAGCGTTACAAGTCCAATTTAATGATCAAACTAAAGATTTATTTCTTATATTAATTAAGAGTGTTAAAAAAAATTTAATGACCTGAAAACAGTTAATCAACTCGACCGAACAATTAAATTGGATCTAAAAAATGTCCAAATCCGATCGAACGGAACTTAAGAACACTTGTAGTATTGAGTCAGGTGGCCAACGGGCCATCCATAATAAGACACCATCACCAAGGGCAGTTTGGTCACACTGCCACGTCAGACATTTTAACCTCATGTGCCGTCCACTTAGGTTCACAGTGCCACGACACCTTTATGAAAACAACCTTCCCTTCCCTTCCCTATATATCTCCCCAACACGCCCTCTCTCTCTCCCCTTTTCTCTCTCCTCCTCTCTCTCCGCCGTATGAAGCATAAATTCTCTCTTTCCGCCGCCTTCAGCCGCCAAATCCTGATCCTCCTCCTCTTTCGACGACAAAACTATGAAGCGCAGCGCCTCCGAGTTGGCTCTTGAAGAGCTCCTCGAAACGACAGCCATCGCCTCTCCAGAAGTCATCGACGCCGAGGCTGACGACGAGTTACAAAACGACAACGTTTTCAAAACCGAACACGAAGTCATCTCCCGGAGCCCTAAAAGAAGCAAGAACTTCCAGGACTCCGCCGATGCGTGCAGCTTCTTCGGCGATATCGATTTCAATTTCTTCTTGAGAAATAATCGGGTTCGTAATCGCCGATCTTTCTGTAAATCGCTCGAAATTAAAAAAAAAAAAAAATATATATATATATATATATATATATATATATAAAATAATTAGAATATTTTATTTGGTTTATTAACTTTAAATATTCACGTAAGGGTTATGTTAAATGCATGAAAATATAATATATTTTAAAATATAAAATGATTTTTTTAAAAATTTTATTTAATTTCAGGCAGCTTTTTGTTGTTGTTATTTTTTATAATTAAAATAAATAAATAATTGAAAGTGCAGGAGATAATGGACGCGATTGCTAACTGTGGAGGTGGGGTGGCGGAGGGTCCTTTATGGGCACAGAATCTCACACCTAAGCTCTCGACCATTTCAGCCACTATAGATTCCCAGTCTTCTATTGGTAACTCCATTATTATTTATTTATTTATTTATTTATTTTAAGATTTAAAATTAATTAAAAAAATATAATAACTAAATATGTATTTTTTTTCTTCTTCATCTTTTTATGAAATTACTTTGAGACTCGAAAGTGACGTAATTTTGTATAGGTAAGTTAGAAATCTGCTCGGTCCCGAGATCCATACAGCTTAGGGTTTAGGGTCGTTCTACTTATTTTTATGAGAGTTAGAATGATACTTTCCACGGTAAATTTATAAGGATCGAAATTCTCAGTAATTTTTTTTTTTAATTTTCAACCATGATATTTTTTAAAAATGGTAATTTTCAATATAATTATTTAAAGATAAGGTATTTTCATAATAAAAAAAATAATATTTTATGAGTAAGAATAAAATTATATTCCACCGCATATAATTTTTTAATATTACCAACGTTATATCTAAAAATTTAAATTTCAATATTACAATATAGTCTTCAACAAGATATAATAATAGCAATAATAAGCGGAGAGGAGGAGAGGAGGCTCTGGGCCGGGATGAGGACTAGATATATTACTTTTAAAATAAAAAATGAAAAAATAAAAAATAAATATTTTTTAAAATTTTAATAATAATTAACTTTTTAAAGACTGAATTTTAGAGGTTTAATATATAAATTAAAATGAAATGGAGTGGAAAATATAAAAACTAAAATTATATTTTTGATTGAGTAAAATAATTATTATGGTTAATAAATTATAATTTTAATTAATTAGATTTGGATTAATATAAAAATATTATTAATAATTGAAATAATAAATAAAAAAAAAGGTAAGGAAAAAGAATGATTCCAAAATGGTTGGTGTGGACAGTGAGCAGCCCAACATCAGCTAGCAATTTGATGGGCAGAGAGCACCAAAGAGGCGCCAACAGCGGGTCCTCCGAGGATCAATCGGACGATGAGATTGAGGCTGGGTCTTGTGAGCAAAGCAATGACCCTCTTACTTTGAAGAAGATCAGAAGGTGCTTTTACTTTACTTGCTTTATTTTGCATTTCATCTTCTAATCTTGGTCTTCCACTTGTAGAATGATCTCTAATAGGGACTCGGCTAGACGGTCGAGACGACGAAAACAAGCTCATTTGGCTGAACTCGAGAGTCAGGTATGTTGACAATATCTCTGTTGGTGGGTGTATATTTAATAAGAAATTCGAGTTGGGTTTGGTTCGATCTAATCTAGTTTTAGAGGAATTGTGAGATCACACGTTGGTTGGAGAGGGGAACGAAACGTACCCTATAAGGTGGAAACCTCTCCCTAGTAGACGCGTTTTAACTATGAGGTTGACGATGATATGTAACGGGTCAAAGCGGACAATACCTATTAGCGGTGGGTTTCGGCTAACTATTACGAATGATATCAAAGTCAGTCACCGAGTGGTGTGTCAGCGAGAATGCTAGCCCTCAAGGGAGTGGATTGTGAGATCTCACATCGGTTGGAGGGGGAAACGAAACATTCCTTAGAAGGGTGTGGAAATCTCTCCTTAACAGATGAGTTTTAAAACGAGTCAAAGCGAACAATATTTGTTAGCAGTGGGTTTCCGCTGTTACAGGAATCCATGTATGGGTTGGGGTGATCGAGTTTTGTGGATCATTGGGTTTTTTTTTAACATTAAGCACCAACCAACCTCTAAGAACTCGGTGATACCACTAACATTCATTGTTTTGATTTTCTCAGGTGAAACAACTTAAAGTAGAAAACGAAACGTTGTTCAACCAGCTTTTAGATGCAAGTCAGCAATACCGTGATGCCAATACAAACAACCGAGTGCTTAAATCAGACGTGGATGCGATGAGAGCCAAGGTACTAAATTCTCTTACTCTCCATACACAAACGAATTTGAAGAGAGCTCGAGAAAACAAAATCGATCATATCACGTAAACTTTTTCCTTTTTCGATCGAAGGTAAAGTTAGCTGAAGATACACTCGCTAGAGGCTCAATGACCAGTAGCTTGAACCAGCTCCTACAGAATCATTTGAGCACGCCGCAGCCACTAACCGTGCTGCGGCGGATGTCGAATATCCCATTGCCACTCGGTCTTCCCGGAGACGACGTTTCTTATTCTGGCGTGACAATGTCGAGCCAGAACCCAGCCACCCGGCTCGCAGAAACTGGAATGGCTAGTGAGGCTGTTAGCTGTGTGTCTGAGATTTGGCCTAGAAATTAGCCCTTTTATCATGTCATATGTTTGGCTTGTATGATAGAATTCAGACTCTCTGTTTGCTGTGTCGTTGATTTTAGACTGCTCATTTGCTTGTGTTTGGGTCAGTATGAATAGCTATTGATATCAACTGTGGAGCATAGAATAGCTACAATGATATCAACTGTGGAGCATAGAATAGCTATTGATATCAACCGTGTAGCTATATTGATATCAACTGTGGAGCATAGAATAGCTATTGATATCAACTGTTGAGGTATGCTCGTATTGACACTAAAACTTAGAACGGGAAGAACACAACACTAAATTCATATAACAAGAACAGAGAAGGATGCAGAAATTGGGGGGGATATTATTCAAGTTATGGTTTCTGAACAAAGATAACACCAAAATCACAAGATTTTTCCAGAATTTTGGATTGAAAAGTGAAAAAAACAAGAACAAATCAAGAACATTTAACACCCATCATTAATTCAAACTCACCAAAATCAACTTTCCCATCCAAATTCACATCCACAACGCTAACCATTTTCTCAATCTCCCTAATCCCCCACCCTTTATCCAATCCCAAACATTCAAGCACTCTTTTCAGCTCAACCGTATCAATGAATCCATCGCCATCCACATCAAATATCTTAAAAGCTTCCCATAGCAGCTCATTTCGTTTCCCTTCCTCCTCCATCTCTCCGATCACCTCCTCCACCGCCACCTCATCACCACCGCCATCCGCCGGCAGCTCAAACCCTTCCTTCTCTTCTTCACTCTTTATCAGCCCCAATTTCTCCACCACCCCCTTTGCTTTTTCCTTCTTGATTCTCCCATTTTCCCTCATTCCAAACACTGTAATCAACGCCCGTAGTAGCACGTCGTCGTGGATGACTCTGTGGGGACTCGGAGCACCGCCGTCAGCGGTGGAATCCGCCGCACGGGATCGCCCACCAACTGTTTGTAAAAAGTCCCCAATGAATCTGGAGATACCCATTTGGTGGAAATTGGTTGTGGATTGTGAATGGGAGTGGGGAATTTATGAGCGATGGAGGCGATTGAGAGCTGGCAGAGAAATAATTTAGAATTGGGGGTTTGTGGATCAGATGCGTTGGATTGAAGCTTTAAGAACTGTAATTTGGCGCTCGGTGAAGGAATCGGGGGGACAGGATGCGCTTGTTTATCGGCAGTACCATCGCGAACAGGAAGCAAGGATTTGAAAATTCACTGCAAATACAGCGCAAGGATTCGTAAATTTACACCAAATTCTGCCAACTCTGCGTTGGTCAGTTAAACCTTCTTTATCAATTTAAACCCTAATTTGTTTTTTTTTTTTTTTTTAGTTTTAATCAATTTAGACATTCTATATTATGGTTTAATTTTAAAACCGTTAATTCATTTTCTAAAAAAAAAATTAAATCAAAATTTAAAATGTGAGATCCCACATCCACTACAGTCGCGTTTTAAAAACATTGAGGGGAAGCCCGATAGGGAAAGCCCAAAGAAAATAATATCGGTTAGCGGTGAGCTTGCGCCGTTACAAATGATATTAAAGCGAGACATCTGACGATGTGTCAACGAGGAGGTTAAGCCCCCTAGAGAGGTGAACATGAAGCGATGTGTCAGCAGCGAGGAAGCTGAGCCCCGTAGAGGGATGAACATGAAGCGATGTGCCAACAGCGAGAAGGCTGAGCCCTGTAGAGGGATGAACATGAAGCGATGTGCCAACAGCGAGGAGGCCAAGCCCTGTACAAGGGTGAATATGAAGGGATATGCCAGCAGCGAGGAGGCTGAGCCCTATAGAGGGGTGAACATGAAGCGATGTGCCAGCAGCGAGGAAGCTGAGCCCTGTAGAGGGGTGAACATAAAGCGATGTGCCAGCAGCGAGGAGGCTGAGCCCTGTAGAGGGGTGAACATAAAGCGATGTGCCAACAGCGAGGAGGCTGAGCCCTGTAGAGGGGTGAACATGAAACGATGTGCCAGCAGCAAGGAGGCTGAGCCCTGTAGAGGGGTGAACATGAAATGATGTGCCAGCAACGAGGAGGCTGAGCCCTATAGAGGGGTGAACATGAAGCGATGTGCTAACAGCGAGGAGGCTGAGCCCTAAAGGGGGTGGACATGAAGCAACGTGCCAGCAAGGACGTTGGGCCCCGAAGGGGATGGACTTGGTGGGGTCCCACATCGATTAGAGAAAGAAACTAGTGTCAGCGAGGACGCTTGGCCTCGAAGGGAATGTATTGCGAGATTCCATATCAATTGAAGAAAGAAACTAGTGTCAGCGAGGACACTTGGCCCCGAAGGAGATGTATTACAAGATCCCATATCAGTTGGAGAAAGAAACGAGTGCCAGCGAGGACGCTCGGTTCCGAAGGGGGTGTATTGCGAGATCCCACATCAGTTGGAGAGGAGAACAAAACTTATCCGTAGCAAACACGTTTGTCCATTACCATTAACAGTATTGGTCTACACTAGTCGAAGAAAATTAAAATTTATTCTTTATTACTTTAAAAATTAAAATAAATAATGGATTATTGTTTATAAATTATAAAATTTAAAAATGAGGTACTAAATTTTAATTCTATTCGAATTATATAGTCTAGACTATAGTTTAATATATTTACTACATTAATAAATAAATGATGCATTAAATTAAATGTCGTGTATTAAATTTATAGAGGTTGAAATTGAGGTTTTATTAAATATAAATAACGGTTATCAAATTCTAGTTTACCGACATGCATGTCTCTCCAAATATATTAAAACATGATTATTATGAATTTAAATTAAGAAATTAATTGAACCAAAATAAATAAATAAATAAATAAAAATCTGCAACGTATCTGGGCATTTATTTATGGTGTATTATTGGGTATTTAAAATTATTGCATGTGTATGTTGTACACTTTGCAGAAACCGCGTTCCCAAGCTGTATTAATTATTGCATTATTTATTCTAATTTTAATTTTAATTTTAATCTAAGTACTCCCCATGCATTTTTCTGCTTAAGCCCATCACGTGATGAAATAATAATATTAATAATAATAATTAAAAAATTTAAGCTAAATTATAAAAAATATATTAAATTATGAATCTCGCTTAAAGTTTAAATCATACTTGTGATATCCCACATTAGTTAGTGAGTGGAACGAAACTGTAACGACCCGAAATTTTCTACTTAATTTAGGGTTGCTATTGTATATATGTCATAAACATGAACGTGGAAATACTTCATTTAAATTTTCATAAAACATAACCTTAAGCTTAAAACACAATCGTGGACTTACGTGTTTTGAAAACACCTTTAAAATGACACTACAAAATACTAAATAAAATAAATAAATGTTTAAATTAAAACATCATATTCTAGCCTAAGTCTAAGAAAATAAATACGAATACTCTAGGTATGTGTCATGGTCTTGAGTTGCGATGTCGTTGTCAGCCGTACAGGAATGTCTTGCAAAATTTAGTAGCACATGGATGAAGTATTTAAAGAAATACTCAGTAAGTGACCCCACTCTTGAGAGTTATGCAACAAGAACATGCAAAATGTTAGGACGAAATCTATCATATCAGTCTATTTTTACTACGGCACTATTCTAAGTTATAATAAATATAGAATTAAGCTAACAATAACGCTGTCAATTATGATACAGTCAATAGTGTAAAAATTCAATTATGAGTTATATTTTATAATGACCAGGTAATAACAAGATACGCAACCAGCAATATTTATTTTCTTATTTTATGCAAGTCATACTTGACGGAGACGGGGCATTGATAGTGGGACCATGGAACATGCCAAGCCTACATCATAGGCTGGTCTACAAGATCTATAACCTAGAGCTCTAATACCAACTGTAACGACCCAGATCCACCGCTAGCAGATATTGTCTTCTTTGGGCTTTCTTAGCACATGCGTAGATGTTTTAAAAATCGTGAGGCTTACGGCGATATGTAATGGGCCAAAACAGAGTTAAGTATAGGCTCTAGAAGAGGTTATAAGAAGTTTAATATGAGTGATGAAGATTTAGAGGAATTGAATTTGACTTGGATCATTTGTGTGTTTTCAATGGCATCATCTCTGAGCTAGAGGTGATCGAGAATGAGGATAAGGGCTCTAGGTCGAATGCTGGCAGAGATAAATAATAAGTCAAAGCGGGTAATATCTGCTAGCGGTAGGCTTGGGCTGTTACGATGATATCAGAGTCAAACATTGAGCAGTGTGTCTGTGAGGATGATGGTCCTCAAAGGGGATGGATCGCGAGATCCCACGTTGGTTCGAGAGAGGAATAAAACATTCGTTACAAGGGTGTGAAATTCTCAAACATGTTTGAAAACCATGAGGCTGATGACAATACGGGGCCAAAGCAGACAATACTTGCTAAAAATGGGATTGGGCTATTGCACACGTGCCGGGGAGGGGAAGTGGGTTTGGTTTAATTCCTCTTATCTCTTTACTACAGAGCTTGGGCGTTCCATGATTTTTCCTGTTCACTCCATGTTGTGCTCGATTCTCTCTTTCTTAGCGTATACTCAAAGGACAAAATTACCCCTAGTAGGAATTTTTCCAACTTAGGCTAATTTAATTACATTTTCTTATATTTCTTGTCCAATTTGAACATAGCACAACAATTCATATACATCGTGGGTGGGCCCACTTATCATATTCTTTTACTATACTTCTAAAATAAATGTGTTACATAAAAAAAAACTAATACTAATTATGAGGATTAAATGGTAATATTCTAAAAAAACATAATTGCCTAAAAAGGAAAAAAAATTATGATGAAGCCAAGGAAATTGTCTTATCGAGTAAAGCGAGTGCCACGTACGAAGATTTTGAAGGCCCAGTACACGTGGCAGCCCCGTTGGCAGCCTCTGGGCCTTTTATGTTTTTGCCCCTATAATTTCCTCAATTTAGAAAATTGTACTAAAAAAAGCGAAAAATAAATATCTTTATTCTTCATCATCTTCGAACCGCGAAGCGGTGCAACGTTGCACGTTTTTCACGTCAAACACAAAATCGCTGGACTGGCGGCAACTCTTTCTCTGCCTCTTCTGAGTTCGGAATTCGGATTGGTAATTGGAATCCATGGCGGCTCCGAAGCTTGCGAGCGTAACGATTTTTCTAGCTTTAATTGTTTTCTCTGTCGCTGCGGACGTGATCGTCGATGGTGGAGAGGATGCAATTGAAGTTGCTAGAGAGGATGGCTATCAATCCTCTGTGATTAAAAAAGAATTGGAGAAACTCAATTCTAAGATCCGAGAGCTTGGTGAGTTTATCGTAATCTATTGCGCATTTGAGTTTGTTTGATTGTTGAGAAAGCGTGGGGAAATGTGGCGGATGAAGTATTAGTGCGAACTTTCGTATTTTGATGAAGCAAACTTAATTTGGAACGGTTTGGGAAGTGTTTATTTATTTGTTGGCTGTTTTGATTCTCTTTTCCGCCGAATTGATGTTGTTTCAACTTTCAAGTTGATTTGGTATTTCCAAGCCGTGGGGATTTTCAGAATTACGATAGCGTTTCTTGTGATTGAACGGAGTCCACCATGTTCTGGTTAGAAAACCACGAATCCCACTATTGTCCACTTTCGATCATGTGACTTTGCTTTTAGTTTTCCCGAAATGCCTTAGACCAATGGAGATAGTGTTCCTTGCTTATAAATTCATGATCTTCTTCCTAATTAGCCAATGTGAGACTACTCCCTTTGATCGAGGCATGACTCCTTCTCTGGAGCCCTAGAACAAAGTACCCATTTGTTCAACACTTGAGTCACCTTTGACTACATCTTCGAGACTCACAACTTCTTTATTCGACACTTGAGGATTCTATTGATATGGTTAAGCTAAGGGCATGACTCTGATAACATGTTAGAAACCACGACCTTTACAATAGTATGATATTGTCCACTTTGAGCCTAAGCTCTCATGGCTTTACTTTTGGTTTTCTCACAATTGGTTTTCTCATAAGGCCTCATACCAATGGAGATAGTGTTCCTTATTTATAAACTCATGATCTTTCTCATAAGACTAGTGATTTGATTTCTGAAAAAGATTGTCACCAATTTTAATGTGCTTTCCATGCGTTTTCTATCTGCTTTTATGTTTACTGACTTCGTTCTCCGTCTTTTTCATGTATTGAGAGGCTCGTTTTTTGCTATTTCTGCAGAGGTCCTTATCGATGAAAAAGCACAGGAATTGGAGAAAAAGAATGAACTAATATCTCAAAAGGATGAAATATTTAGGGACAAGTCAGCTAGAGTTTCATTTCTGGAAAGCGAGATAGAATCTCTTCAGGTTGGCTTCAATATTTATCTGGACTGAAAAATCCATACCGATATTTGTATTATTGCAATTATAGAGATTGATTTTCTGATACTGTAACTGCCTCATGTAGTCTTTACTCCACTCTATTCTCTTTTTGCATAATTATAACTTTGCATCTAATTCTCATTCTTGCTTTGAGTAGAGAGAAGGGAAATTACATGTTGAGGAAACAACTGCGAAGGCTCATTCACGTGCTGGTGAATTAGAGAAGCAGGTATATTCGATATAGAAATCTTGAACATAATGACCATTGTAATTACAGTATGCCCTTACTCTGTCTGTCTCTTTATTGGTCTTTTCAGGTCAGTGAACTTAAAAGAGAACTAGATGCTCAAAACAGAGAGAAAAATGCACTGGAAGCACAATCAAATGAAGCTGAGAAGAAGATGCATGAAGTTATTTCGACACTGGAGAAAGTAAGTTGAGTGCATTTGTGGAAATATGTAGATTTGAATTTGCAGCCTTTTGCTGTTCATAGTTGGAAGAGAGGAACTGTTTTCGTTTTCCCTTAGTTGTATTCTCAGTCTTTCAATTTTGATTTTGTTACAGCTTCAGAACAGTAACGAAGAACAGAAGAAAAAAATTAAGAAACTCGAACGTGCACTTAAAGTGGCTGAGGTACTCTACTGCTAACGTGCATTTTATGGAATTTGATTGTTCCTATCTTAGCAATTTTCTTGTCTATTCTCAGGAAGAAATGATAAAAGCCAAGTTTGAGGTCACTTCAACAACTGAAGAGTTGATGGAGGTGAAGTTTATTAATCAAGTTATTCTGTTCTATCATCATGCAACTAAATACCAGTTATCTTATGCATCCTTCCATATGGTCAGATAATAGTTGACTATGTGATTTCAATAAAAAATTTCATGGGGGTATTTAGATTCTAGGCGAGGTTAAGTGGTTGTACGATGACTCTAAAGATAAACATTTTCTGCCTCAATTTCATCATTTAAGTTCTGCCCAAAAACAAATAAAATCTTCCAGAATTATTTTATTGATCCCAACTGGTTCTGGAGCTCCTCTATGCATTTTTTATCTGGTTTCCTATGATATCAAGAAGAAGAGGGATCTAAAAATCGGTGAAGAATGAAGGTAGTGGGGAAGGAAGAAGTGGAGAAAGGTGGGGAGTGAAAGAGAAAATATGGGGAAAAAGGGGAGGGGGAGGAGGAGAGGGTTTTGGAAGTTTAGTGTAAAAATAACAATGAAATGACTTGTTAAGAAAAAAATTATATTATATAAAAGAGTCAAATGAGCATTGACACATCAATACTTGACAGGTCCATCTTGCTCTTTGTTAGTGTTACTTGACACAGTGATTTCAGAGTTCAAGTCGAAACACTTGAGATGTTGAACAGTTAATTTTTTTGGAAATTAAGAGCCAAATAGAATTCTAACATGTGATGGGGTTATGAATGGAATGGAGCTTGGCTGAATTTTCACGTAATTCATTATCAGGTCCACGGTGCATGGTTTCCACCATGGCTTGCTTCATTCTGGAACAAGCATGCAAAACCTGCAGTGAATATGGTGATGCAAAAGGTACGGTTTTCTGGTTTCTTGAGGTTATTTGTTGATTCCCTGTGAATAATTTAATTGCATCATATGCACCTTCTATCTGCGCATCTTTGTTACTTTAAGTTCATCAATGCCTTCTTTTTCTAATCGGTTGCAGATGTGGGTTGGAAAGACACATGTGGAGAACTGGGTGGGACCCCACGTAGAACCAATTAAATCTGTGAGTTTTTCTTAATTTCTGCTTTTGTATTTTCTTGACATAGAAGTATAGCTTAGTAAATTAAAATCATTAGAGAAAGTATTAAATTTTTTCTCTGACGTATATTCTTCTTGAAGAATTTTTAAATATTGTAACAATTATATATTATCAACTTCTATTTAATTGTCTTAAATATCAAACCTTGGGCTTAAATTTTGATCTTGATCTTTTTATGTTTCAAATCGTTATAACAAGCTATTTTTTACACGAAGAAAAACTGTTAGTTCAACATAATATATCAAATGATTTATTATGTTTACATGCTTACTCAGACTTTGCCTGTTTCTGTTAAGGACTCGGTACATTGCAGAAACAATTTGTGAGTTCCATTATTAGGGTTGATTTATGGAGAAAAAAAATAAAAAGGGAAAAACGTTGGGTGTGTTATAACATTTTTTTAGTAACTTCTTAAACTGCAAATAGAATAGTTGGAAGGTGTATAAAATGAGCTTAGAGATTTGAGTAAAATTGATTTTGTAGGTTTATTGGTTAGGCAGTTAATAATTGAAGGTTATATTTTATATTTATTCTAAAGGTACAAACATAGGGGTTATTGGGTGAGTTGTACTAAGACTTTTGTAGAATGAACTTTTTTACTTCCTCCTTGCCAAATGCAGAAATGGATCCCTGCCATACATGAACAGTGGTTGGTGGTGAAAACGAATTCTAAACCGCATTTCGAATTGTTATGTAAAAGAAGTTCAGAAGCTTATGAGGCTTCAAAACAAGCATTGACTCCACATATTATAAAAGTACAAGAGTTTGTGTGAATGTTTGCTGAATCCACCACACCTAAATGGTGTGAAAGTTATCTTATTTATAATCAAATAAATTACAAGGATATGGAAATAGTAATAAATGGAAATAACAATAAATGGAAAGATACTATAGTAATAAGGCAAATGTTAGATATTTGCCTTATAATAAAATATCAAATATAATATATATGGTAAACTATAATTTATTACTAAATATCCTTAACAGTTTGCCTATCCCTACTTTCAGGTATATATCATGTAGTCTTCACTCTGCTTGTTAATCATCTTTGTTCCTCCTTCATATCACTCTTTTCATTTATTTATTATTTTATTTATATTCTTTATTTTTTCATCTTCCTTTTTGATGGGGGATAGAAAGTAAAACTGGTCAGCGAACCATATGTTGATCATGTCGCTACTGTGACAAAACCTCTTGTTGACAAAGTTTGAGTAGCATTAAATTCATACACACAGGAGTTAGTGCACGTTTGTGGAAATTTTATGCAATCTGAAACTACAAAACTAAAATTGGTAGTTTTTCATGGTTGTAATTCTGGATATTTTGAGAACATACTTTTCTATTAACCGTGACTTGATAGGAAGTGGTATTCGTTTGGGCAATTGTGGTGACATGAGTCCCTTGATTTCGGTCTAGAGTTTATGGATCCAAAATCCTGTGTGGACCTGTTGTCTGGATACGAGTATTTCATGAAGGGTTTTATTTAAAAACAACTATTGTTAGGTCAAATATTTTTCTAACTTGAAGCAAAAGAGTGTACAAGGTTAGAGTCTTTTTTATTATCATTTTGAGGTTTGATTGATCCCCTTCAGCACCCTCTTTCAAAAGCATGCTGAGTCTAGAAATGTTGGAAGATCTGCAGATCTGCATGCAAGTTAGAATATCTTGCATCTTGATGATATTTTCTATCTTTTCTGAAATAAGTTGGATCTTTACTTCTACATACATGTTTTTGGAGTTTCGGAATTCATATAAAGTCATAATTGGCTGGTGAGATGACAACTGTCAACAAGACAGAGTAAACAAACATTTATAATTAGTCTGGAGTTCATAGTGCAATTTTTCTAATTCCTAAAATTTCATTTTTCCTGCAATACCTGAAACTGAAATTGTGTATATGTACTTCCAAAGACCAGTTAAATTAAAAACATCATATATGCATATATATGTGCTTGGAGAGACAATGAATTTGCCATGAGTTTCCTTTCAGCTAACCAACAATCGGGACCTGGAACTGAAAAGCATTTCTTGGAACTTTAAAACTCATTTCTTAGCATGGATGGAAAGGAATATGTGAAGTTGTGATAGGAAATATGAACATAAGGTCTCATTCCTGTTCTCTGAGATCTTGTTCTTACAGAATCTTTAGAGTCGGTTTTAACTTCTGAGATGATGGTGTTTGTGAGAACCTTAAAACTTCCTTTTGAGATTAGTTTATTTATATTCCAGAAATAGAAAAAATACCCTTAATAAGGTCTGCTGGTCATTGTTGCAAAACTTTTGTCCAACTTGTTCAAGTCGCCCAAGTATAGTATCAGAAAACTGTCTTGACCTTAGTAATCATGTGGCTGATAACATTTCAATCTCAAATTGCTTAGTATCATAAATTATTAGCATATGGCATACAACGTCTCATTGTGCTGAAAGCTGCTGAGCTCGCCAGCAGGAATAATTATTCTTGTGCTACCAGGAACCAAAAATTACTGCCTACGGTATGATTTCTGAAGTTCTTATGTTTTCTTCAGGTTAAATCCACCATCCAGGAAGTGCTCAACAGACATGACATTACAAGAGCGGTTGCTACTAAAGAGTTCGAGTGGCTCTTGGTTTGTATTACTCTAGAAAATATGACAATATAAAAAGATCTTTGATGCAAATTTTAGGTTTCAAACTTACATATGTGAAGTTTCACGCTTCTATCTGAGACTAAAACTATATTTGAAGTATAAGGACGAAAATGAAACAAGTGTGAAAATTCTGGGACAAAATAGGATTTACCAGTAAATCTACATCTTATTTTACTAAATTTGTTGATATTTTGCTATTGACTCGATCCAGTATTCGGCCTTGTTGATCCTACCCATATTAATATTGTTCAGTCTTTGCTGTTGCTGCGGCCCTTCCCGGTATGATTTTTTTCATTTTACCGTATCAAATGTATACTCCTTTTGATAGAGGCACTTGAGGGAATAATATATCTTTGTGCAGTGAAAAGGCTAGGAAGCCTGCCCGCCCCAACCAAGCACGTCATAAGGCCAAAAAGGGAACTTCTGGCAAGTAAAGTTTGTAACATCATTTGCTGGTCCTCTGTTGGAGACTTTTTAAGGTTTGCTTTATCTTTAACATTTATGCTTAGAATAATAAATTATCTGCTTTTTCCATATTTATACTACTATGTGAGGTGGTATATTTTAAGAACTCATTGTGATACTGCACCATCGTTACTTGATTGGTTCTCATGGCCATGGCCACCTTACTGTTGACTCGGTATTTTTGCAACTGTGAGGAATGCCTTTTCAGTCTCACCTTGTCTTGCTTAGCATGACATGGCAGTTTCCAACGCCACAAGGCACTGTTTGGATGCTTCTCATCGCATATTGAAGTGTTTGGAATGACCTTCATTCCAAACAGGTCCTGAAATCAACCCGATATGTCTTGTTAAAGGAGTTAATCCTGTGAGCAGTCCCACCATATGGTGCTTGAGACATAATTCAACTCACTTTCTGTTCATGCTACAGCTATAAAAGATGGAGTTTTAATTCAAACCACTCTCTCCCTCTAGTGACCTTATCTTACATTACAACTCTCCTTATGCTATCTTCACGATTATTAGAGCTCCCTTTGCAGCCCAGCCATAGTGGAATTGCAATGTCTTATCAAGAACATTTTCTTTTCACTTTGCAACTCTTAACGACCATCATACGAAGACACTAGATAGCGCTTGAAGGCTATAAGAAAATAGATTTGTTCGATGTATGAACTTAAGCGTGATAGTACTAGCTTCTTTTTTTAACATACATACTCATAACGCCTCTCTTCCATCAGTTGTCTTCTTCAGTTTCCCCATAAAAACCTCTGGAGACATATAGCCGATGAAGCCTTTATGTCTGTTCCTAATGTTCAGGACATTAAAACAGCATTTGGAAACATGGAGAGACCACGTTGCCCCTAACTGAGTGGCTTCCACCAATCAAGAGAGAGGGGTCATCCCTGAACAAATCCCTAAACCGCTAGTCAACATTTGAAAAAGTAAGAGAGTAATTGAGAAAATTGGACAAAAAGCTCCAGCCAAAGCAAGCTTTAATTGACTGGAAAAAGTGAAGTGCTTCCATTTGGAATGCCTCATTTGAATCTTCCCAACTCTTGGTTCCAAAACGAAGAGATACGAGGATAATCACAATTAGCAAAATTTGGTAGGAAATTTTTCAACTTCCGGGTATATGAATGTTGATGCAGCTGAAGTGATCATTTGTTTTTCAGTCATAATTCTGTTGTGATAAAGTATATGGATTCTGTTGATTGTGATAGTTTTCATGAGAAAATCTAAAGACGATGCTCGATTTTATGGCACTATAAATTGCAATGTGATTGCTATTATGTCGTCTCCATTATCGTCCCGTGGGTAAACCAGTTGTTGATACTATCATTTAAGCTCTTAGTGAGTACATCACTTACATATAATCGTATTTCGATTCTCTGCAGGTGGACATGACATCTTTGCCTTTCTTTAGGAATCTGGAACTTAGAAGTCTGATATTTTTTCGAAGCTCTTATAGTTTCATCACCTAGTCTCGGTCGGTTGTTAGCCATGATTATCACTCCCGCTGCTAGATACACCCAAGAAGTTTAGACGTTGAAGTTATATTTTGTTTTCCATGTTTATGACTATGATGCCAGAGTTGTAAGTTTTTTTGTTCGTTGTAAAATAGTTGCGAAGTCGAATAAATTATTTCAAATTTTCTTCTCGTTACTCCGCTCCGTTCAAGTCTACCATCAGTGTAATGTTAGCAGCTTGTATGACTTTGCTGCTGAAGGGGTCTTTCAGCTATTGATTATGAAGTCCTGAAAACAACAAACTTTGGTTCGGTTCATCCTCGATGATCCGTCCACCGGCTATGAGATTATAGATATTAAGTGGTTGAAAAAGAGGTGTTTCGACTGCTTACAGAAACAACTAGAGACTCCAATCTCGGAGTTAAACGTTACACATCGACTACGAAAGGCGGGTTTGTGAAAACTCGTAACGAAGGAAAAAAGGGAAAACTATCTCTATTACTGCAACAACTTCTTCAGTGTTTACTGAGAAATGTATGCATAGCTTGGCGGCCTTTACCAGTTTTGCCAGTAATTCTCCAGGTCCATGCAATGGTCCATGTTCATAAATCTGTTGCCAGGTCCATTGCCATTGTTGCTGATCTCCGCCCCATATGCAGTTTCAGGACCGATCGTGCTTGCAATCACAGATGAATTAGCCATGGTAGCTGCCATGACAGACGAACCGATGTCTTGTTGGCCAATTTTCATTGGTGCTGCGACTGGGGGCGGCATCGGTCGCAAAACTGGTTGCGATGAAGCTCCTCCAAGGTTTAAGTTCAACCCGGATATTGTGAAGCAACCTCCTGCAGGTTGATAGTTAAACTGGGGCTGCATCGATAAGTTGATACCGTGAGTTGATCCTCCGCTGCCACTGCCGCCTCCACCGGCTCTCAGGACTCGGTTGAGCTCGGCCAGATCTGCGCCGGTGATGTAGTTACGCCCATAGCCATATTGAGCAGCAGGGTCTCCGAGCTGCATGAGGGGTGGTGGAAGAAGAGGAGGGGCAATTTCAAGGTTGACATAGGGGTTCACTGCTCTTGTTTGGTTTGGAGGATACTTTTTGGGTCCGGCACTCTTTTGGAATACTCGGCAAACCACCCATTCGTCCTGTTTTAACAGCCCAATAAAAATCATAATTAAGGGATTTAAAAAAGAGGCAAAAACATGATTTTGCAAATGATTAACAATACAAGATGAGATTTAACTCATAAAGTAGGCATTTTGATTCGATTTTCGATAAATATTATGTAACGGCTCAAGTCCACCGCTAGCAGATCCTGTCATCTTCGAACTTTTCATCCAAGTTTTAAAACGAGTTTGCTAGGAAGAGGTTTTCACAGCCTCATCCAAGTTTTAAAACGGGTTTGCTAGGAAGAGGTTTTCACAGCCTTCTCCCTCACCGACGCGAGGATCTCACATATTTTATATCAATTTTTCTTTTTATAAAAAAAATTATATACCAAATAAATCATCGTGTGTGTACGAAAATTCCCTTCTAAATCAACATTTAAATTTTCATCGGCGTCTCGATATTTTCATATGTTTATGAATTTGAGATCAACATGAGAGCCGGATGCTTTTGATAACAAAAATATCAATATTAATAATAAAAAAACAAATTTTTTAATAAAAAACATTTACCTTAGCTGTTCTAAAAGCGGTTTTGGAATGAAGTCGATATTCATGCATAACCCAATTGGTTTTCTCTCCTCTCGGAGCTCTTCCTTTATAGAACACCAACGTCTTCTTCATCCCGACCAGCTCTGAAGTATCAGTATTGAAGATTTCTTTGTCTTTTCCCGTGGTTTTCCAGTAGCCTGTGTTCGTCGCTCTATTTGTTCTAACTCCGGTCGGGTATTTTCTATCCCTAAGGCTGAAAAAATACCATTCTTTTTCTCCCATTTTAGCCTTCCCTGTTTGAAAATCAACAATAATAACGTTAATATTCAGCTTTAAATAGCCTCCATGCAAACCCTAATCCTTACAGCCCAAGTCTGATATTTAATAACAATACTTCTGATTTAAACAGCTTCCATGCAGTAATTTTAGTCTAATTCGTTTATATATTTTAATCTCTAAATTTCAAATTTGTTTGATTATTTATTTTTTAATTTTAAAAATTAAGCTAGTAAACACCTTTTTATGAAAAATAAATAATATAACAGCGGCCGAACGTGTTAAGATTTAATGAAACAAAAGTGATAGTTTATAAGATCACAATTTTTAAGAATAGTTCGAGATCAAAATTAAAAGTTTTCGAACAAACCCTAATTCACCCGAAACTCGAGGATGATAAACAAGAAATCACCTGGTAGTTCCCAGGGTTCAAACTTGTTGAGATCAACATCAGTAACCGCTCTTCCTGTAAAATTAGCATCTGATATCTTATTCAAAAGATAATACGTGATCAACTCTTCATCAGAAGGATGAAACCTAAACCCTGGAGGCAACGTTTGATCTTGCTCTTGTGCATGATCTTGATGATTACGATCTGATTCCGCTACAGTATTCTTCTTCATCACCTCCGGCGTCTTCCCGTCCTTCTCCGTCCCCAAATTATCACCGCTCGATACCTCGAGAAATCGAAACACAACAACAACAACAACGTTAAATCAATAAAACTTACCATCATTTTATGATAGAAAGAGAGAGAAGAAAGAGCTAACTTGCATGGAGTCTTGGTTGTTTTTGGGTTGCTTGATGGGGTTTTTTTTTTCTTTCTTGGTGAGCATGTAATGCAAGAAATCTATGGGAATTTAACCTTCTTAGAAGAAGACAACTGGTGGGAGTGTGTTCTTCAAGTTTTCACCTAAGCTATAATTTGTTTATAATACTTTGTCGAAGTCTTTTTTCGATTTTTTTTTTCTTTTGTTGGTCGGGAAAAAGTTAACCCGACCATAGCTTTGATATCATTAACTAAAGCACGAGAGATTTGTGTTCACATTGATGCACATTGTTGAACTAAAAAAAACTTACATACGTGTCACAAGCTGGAGAGAGATTATATTTTCTGGTTTCCCGTCTAAACTAACGTGAGATTTATGGCGACACGTAATGATCCAGCGCGAACAATATCTACTAGCGGTGGTCTCGGACTGTTACAAATGGTATCAAAGCCAGACACTGGGTAATGTACTAACGAGGAGATGTGTAATCTTAACCAAATTGCAGCTCAGGCTTCTTTCATCATAACCCTCAAGGATTCAAGAAAAATGCTAATTTTGAGCTATATATAAACTATTTTCTCCAATTGCAGAGAGGTAAGTTCGATAAGTTTCATTCAGTTCATCAAAACTCTAAAGCTTTTCTCGACACTCTGTGAGATTCCACGTCGGTTGAAGAAGTGAACAAATCATTCCTTATAAAAGTGTGAAAACCTCCCCTTAGTAGATGCATTTTAAAATTAAGAGGCTGACGACAACATGTTCGTCAAATTCAGCCTCATAGTTTTAAATTTCTCTTTATTTCTCTTTTATAGCATGTTCGTCGTAAAAACACGATTATAAGCTACGTTAATCTAATCTAACCTTTAATCTTAAAAACATCAAATTTCTTTAAGAATAATGTCCTGTCTTGATCAAATTCTTATATATCAAACACAGTTTGTCTGAATTTCAACAACAATTATGAGATATTGTTTATAATTAATTAGATTCTGACAGTAAAAAAGACAGAGATTTCTTCAGCAGACAAGATTTTCCAGCCAAACTATATAATAATTTTTAAAACATATAATTTTCTTAAAAAAAAATCCATAATTATTTGTTCCTGAAAACATTTAAATTTTTTAACATAAAGTTTTTTATTTCATGTCACATAACCCTTGTAATACAATGTTTGACAATATTGTTATGCAACTAATACAATAAACAAAGTTTTTCTTGTTTCATTGGATAAACGCCAGCTACGAAAATTTCTACCAATTCAATAGCTTGATGAACACGTCATGACGATACATGTTTGATTCTGTACGTTCTTGACCGTTCGTTTATTATTTTTTTGAAAAAGAATGAATCATCAGTTACGACAACGTAATCAACAGCTCAATTGATAAGAAGTAGTTGAAATATGTTTATCACGAGAAGACGACAACGCTCTAGAAGCAAGGAAGAAACGAAGAACTAACCCTAAAACGACACACTAAGTCATTTAGGGTTTATCGATAAACTTGTCGAACACTTCAAAAGTTAATAATATCATATGGGTATTAGATTGATCTCCCAATCAATATCCTTATTAATTGGAAATCCCTAAAATTGATTGTGAATTAATTGAGATAATTAACTAATTCTTTGTCACTAAAAAGGAAGCACTACCAATTTAGCCTATGGTTATAATTTAATTATGTAGAGATTGTGGGTAGCTAAGCAAATAATTAAGATTTAAGGGTCAAATCTTGAATTTTGAAATTATAACATTATCCAAAAGTTTATAAAAAGTAGATAAGCAACCTTGAAAATGGCATTGGGGAAATGAATGTTCATGAACATAAGTTAAATAAGTTACTTTAGTGTATAATATTTGTTACTGAGGTTTATTTATATTATTACTGTATTATGGTTTATCGTATATATCATATTTGATATTTTATAGGTATCTTTCAATTGTTATTTCTATTTATTACTGTTTCAATATTCTTGTAATTTATTTGATTATAAATAGAGAACTTTCCTACACCACCATTAACCAAACATTCTCAATTACCTTATTTAATTTTTAATTTTTTTAAAATATTAATTTTATATCTAAATCATTGGATAAATAAGAAAAAATAAATAATTAAATTAAAAATATTGGATAGGGAGAGACTAATTATAATTAAAATTTTGAGACACTAAAAATTTATGAGTTAAAATAGGGTTAATCTTGTAATTAATCCATGTGAAAGGCTAGATTAATAAAAATATTTTTTTAACAATTTTCAAAAATTTTAATACAATCATCCATTTTTAAAAATATTTCAAAAATATCTTTAAACTTTAAAAAAAATATTTAAAAATATTTTTACGGTTAGTAACACTTTTCAAAAAATACTAATGAATTTCCTAAAAAGTGTCCTTGAAACAGTTAACATTAATATTTTTACTGCTAGTAACGCTTTTCAAAAAATACTATTGAATTTCTTATAAAGTGACCCAATTTTTGTTCATATAT